CATTTTGAATAGGTTAAGTTGTGGCAAATTAGGCCTGTGCCTTCGGTCTGATGTATTCTGCAGAAAAGAGAGAAACAAATCCTCCACTGGAGATATGTCATTTGTGAATTGAAATTCTACATTTGTTTTGTATAGCAACAAACTGGAACATATGGATTCCATGTTTAAATGAATCACTTTCCATACTATTGCTGTCATGTTAGCATTTCTTGATGTGTGTGTGAGATAGTGTTAACCTTCTGTAATTGCTCTTAATTTTGACTGTTATTCTTCCATTACTAGACTATTCTAAGATACACGAGTGTACATCTGGGTTGCAGTCTTTTATATTTAGAGGAGATAAGGCTGTTGTCCTTGCCATATTTCAATGTGAATAATTGATTTCTGTCTTTAAAATCATATTGAGTCTTTGGTTGCAGGAAGTGGTGTGCACCCACTTTGGTGTGGGTGGGTAGGCTGAAAGTACTCAACTGCACTGTAGTATCTTTAAAAAAGTAAGATCTTTACTACATATGCCTATTTCACTCATAAGGGCCTGAATTCGTATGTGGGATGAAGCTTCTACTTTTGGGCCCATTGCAGAGTTTTATTGCATATCAAGACTTCTTGATCACTGTCTAATTGGAAGGGAGTAACAATTTCAGGAAGTGGCTGTATTTTGAAATGTTTGCACCAAAAATTGCCACATATCAGCTGTTGTGTTAACTCCCCATGTGAATGCTGTTCCCCCCCACCGGGCAACTACACAGCAGCAAACCATGGAACAGGCACAGAGACAGTTGCTGTGAAAGCTAATGAACTGGGGTCCTAGTGTACCTGCATCCTCTGCCCATATGTCCACTCTAATTTACAAAGATGGTGTGTTCTTTAGGTAAATAAAATGTTTAAGCCGGAAGTGGTCATGAGCAGCACGTAGATGTTCATTCCTGTCTTCCCTGGAATCCAGCCCAAATGTCAGCCCAGTCCTCAAGAAGGGCTTTGCTGGTACAATTCACTCTTGCTGGACATAGTAAAGTGGAGAGCCAAAGTCCTTTAGTGTTTTCTCCATCCCCCCACACCAGACTGTTAATTGAAGTGCTACAAAGAACACAAGATTCCTTCCAAGACCAAGAATAAATCACTCCGAGAGACTGTCTCTTCAAAGCACCACCTGGTGATCCCTGCAATAATGATACACTCACATGCATCAAGTATTTCTGTGGTTTCTGTTCCATTCAGGCTAAGGAAATACTAGTTTTTTGGAGTTATAAATGATTATACTGAAAATTTTCTTAGGTTTTTAAATAACAGAAGTTGTCATGTTTCACAAATAGCCTTCTAAAAAGCACATGATACTGAAAGCAATCTGGTAAATAACCGATTCATTCAGTTCATTGGCTTTGTTCATCTCTGCTTCAGATTTTATTAATACAAATCCTCTCCACTTGTTGAAAACACCATTGCTTGCAAGCATGGTGGTGTTAGGTGACCCTTCGCTAGTAGCTTTGAAGATACACTAAGGTGTGTCATAGCCAGATCAGTTTCATTGTCACTTTTTTCTAAACCATCTACTAATGAGGTGATTTTTTTTTCCTTGTTTACATGAAGCACAGTTTCAGACTAGACTCTTCAGACACACGCCTTGCTTTTGTCAAAATGCTGCCAATAATTTCAGTTGAAGAGCCATGAATGGGAAATGCTTCACAACAAAGCTGATGGATGGATCTGGCATAAGCTTTGTTTTGTACTTATGTTCTTGGATCGAGAGCTAAGAAAATATCTTTAATTTCTTTTTCAATTAATATAGTAGATGTAACATTCTTCTCAAGCAGGCTTTTTGTTGTGAGGATGTGAATGACATTGGGGCTTTTTGCCCCGGGTGCAGTGTTTGAGCTGTCAATAAATAAAAAATCACAGTAGGCATTTGGAATGTCTTCTTGCATAACTGAGGGAAGGAATTGCACCTGCCTTCATGGTTTGGTTCATGCTGGATCTTCTCTTTGTTTTCCGCAAAAGTAACCTTGCCTGCTGTAATCTGAAAAAGAAAAATTGGAGGAGAACCTTAATTTAAAACTACTAACAAAGTCAGAAAGCTGTGAGACATATGTCTCAGACAGAACTACGTGTGACATTGCAAGAAGTGTCCCCGGAGGACTAGCTTTTATCTTGTCTCAGAAACTACTCAAATCTACTCCACAAAGATGGAAACCACTGGTATTCTGACTTCTTATGGTTTATTTGGGGCTTTTTAGCCTAAAATGGAATGAATAGAATTGCTTATCTTGCCCAATGAGTTTCTAAACTAGTTTCAGTTGCGTAGTTGCATTTAAGAAGTCAGGATTTCAGCATCTCCTCTGTATTTAAGAAGTGGGTTATGATAGTGTGCCTCAGTGCTCAGGCCCGATGCAGTGAAATAACTTGATGGAAAGTTACAGAACAAACAATTAAGTCATTGAGGTCGCCCCTGCTTTGACACAGGCAAGTAGAAGGAGCCTCTTCTTCCACAGGGAAGTGCAAATTTAATACGTGTTGGACCTTTACTCTAGGAAAGGGGTACTGCTTTTCAGTGGTGTCACGGTAAGTAGAAATTGGCATTATGGGGTGCTAAACTGAAAGTTAAGCATATGGCTAAGGCCCTGCTGTGGTTTTTATTTGTTAGCCTAAACCTATAAAAATTGTTCTGATTCAAGTATAACGTCTGTTTCTCAATGGGGAAATCCCATTGTAAGTGTTAGTGGAAGATGTCATGTATGTAGCTGGCAAGTGGCAACACTGGTGAAAATAAATAGTTATCTAGCTCTTATTTAGGGCTTTTCATCAGCAGATCTCAATTCATTTCACAAGGAGGGAAGGATTATTAAAGACTATTTCAAGTACAGAATTGAGTAGTCTTCAGTGAATTTTTCCTTATGTTGTTTCTGTGTGGAAAGGGTTTTGGGTTGTGGGTTTTTTTTCCCTACTGAGAGATCCGTGACCTGTGTCCTACGTGTGCAGTATGTGTTCAGTATGGTGCAAATTGTTCACCAACTTACGTGCCTTTCTTGCCTTCTGGAAATTGTATATTTGATAGTAGCAGAGCTTACATGTGCTATTGTAGAGGAGCTTGAACCAACTTCTGTTTCCCCTGCAGATGAAAGTGGCGTGAAGAAGGAGCATTATACACTGAGAGATTTGGTGTCAGGCAATCACTTCTCTGGAGGATTAAATGAAGCCTTCAAAAAGGCATCCTTTTCCCTTTTACTTACAAGATTCATAACCGAAACTGCTGGCTTTGTTCATGGGACATTTTTTTTTTACAAGAAGCCTTAAAATATGGCCTCTTGCATTTATTTACTTGGATTCTTCTCTCTAATTTGTATATGCAATAGTTTGACTCCTCCAACAATTAAATGATGAGCTGGCAAAAAAATGTTGTTCTGAAATGCAGCCTAGGTAAAGCTATCAAACTGGATGGTAGCATGAGCTATAGTCTGTGTTTGTAGAGCAGAGGAAGAAAACTGCATTGCACAATGTCTGCTTTTTCAAATTCTGCTATTGTTCTAAAAATCCGTGCCCCACGTGTCAGTCATCTCTTGTTAAAACAAGGTCTCTGACCAAAAGCCTTTATTGCATAAGAATTACAGTAACATCATCCAAAAGCTCACAGACTGGGAACTCCTCAAAACCTGGCGTGGGAGGATTTTTTTTTTCCTTCGCTTGTCATAAAGTTAGTATATGGGGCTTCTCGGGCATGACGGGACGAGGAAAAAAAAAATGGGTTGTGAACATTATTGTTAATCCAGATGCTTAGAAATGAGCAGTCATGTTTTCCCAAAATATCTAACTGATTCAAAAATAATGATGTATTTTTAAAATGATGCCTTTGGGTTTTGTGCCTTCCAGATAAAATGCTCATCTCATTTTCATGTTTTTCTCAGCAATCCCAAGAATTACAAAACTACTATTTAAAAAGATACCAGCAATTCCTAAATAGATTCTTTTCTTCTTGTTTCTGGAGTTTTCACTGAAACATCTAGCATCACCAGAATCGGAGCATTTAGTAGCAATATTATTCATGTAAATTGAATTCCTTCTTTCCTGTGCCCTCCCTCTGCTCCTGCTAAAATGTTGGAATACTTTAGCAATGTAGCACAGTAAGGGATGACAGTGTGAATAATAGTATCAGGTAAGTTTACTAAATGCCTCTAAAAACAGGACTACAGGTTGTTCAGTACAAAGTCAGAGATGAATGTAACAGTTAAAAAATTGCATTGCCCATGCAAATTTCAAAACAAAACCAGATTTTTTTTTCTCACAATTGTGCCAGCCTCTTCAGGAGAGGTAGGATTCCACACTGAAATTTCTGCGTGCTTTCTGTGCATGTGAAAACATTTTTTGGTCATGGCAGTATCTCACCACACTTCAGTCAAGAAATAATCCTCCATTTTTCATCATCCCAAAGTTGATCACCAAAATTGCTCATGTTGATACATCATGATGAACAGAAACCAAAACTTGTAGAAAGGATCAGTATAGTAAGTGTGCTTTGCTCTGTCACTGGTATTTTCTGAGACTGTCCTGTTTGCCTCCTGGCTGGCAGGCAAAGATTAAAATCTTGATTGTTGGAAGGCATGGCTGTGCTGGCATGTCCCGACAATGGGGCATAAGCCCAAGGCAAAGACTTTGAACATAAGACTGAAATTGCCCTCAATTTGGGCTCAGACAGTTTTGATTGCCAAGTAGAATCCATTATAGTTTGCAGGTGGGAGAGATAATGTTATGGAGGAAGGAATTCAGGGGAGCTCTGGTATTGCAGCTACAGTGCGCCTCTAACTAATGAGTTCGTATTAGGAAATTAGAAAATCTGCATAAGTATTAATAAGAATGAAGTAGGATTTTCTGTGTTCACTGTACAATTTAAGGTCTTATTCCAAATTATATGCTGTTCCTAGTTTCCAAACTTTTCATTAATGTGATGTAGAAAAGACTATGTCAGCCCTTGTGTATGTTATTTACCATTTTGCTTTGTCTCCCCTTTCCAGCACTTACAGAACCCTGCAAACTTCCATAATGCAGCAACAGAGCTCCTGGACTGGTGCGGAGACCCCAGAGCCTTCCAGAGACCGTTTGAGCAGAGCCTGATGGGTTGTTTGACGGTATGTCCGCTCCCTCTGTGGTGGTGGTTCCTATCCTCTGTTTTATACTGTACGCAGTCTGTCGTGGCCAAGGGAACTTGATTTTCAGAATCTGCATTTTGTGGTGGGTTTTTTTCCATTTTATCTTAAACAGGTGAAGCCAGATCCTGACAACTGTTTATGTGACTCCATTACTTAACAGGAAGCAAGATGCAGTGACAAGAAGTTAAATCATAAAAGGGAAAAACATTTATAGTTAGATTACTTACAAATGCACAGGCTATGTTACTTGATATGCACATACAATATTTATTTTCATGGTTTGAAATTGCTAAGCGAGCTGTGTTCTTACAGAATTAACGGACTTTTCAGCCATTTGTTTTCCTTTGCTCATTTTTGGTGGGACTGGAGGACTACTTGTCTTCTATACCAAGTATGGTGTATTTCAGCTAAACAGTGTTTCTGACCTACCTGTTAGGCTTACTTTGTTACATATATTCACTGCAGGTCTAATCCTGACATGCTAATTCCAACAGTTTTATTGACTTCAGTGCTTTTCTTTCCATTCACTCTATATTAAGACCACTGCAGTTCCTAAAGCAACTTCATTATAATGCGTTGAAAATATATTTTAGTGTGTACACAACAGCATTTTTTGTTTTGAAAGTTTTATTTCCCATGCACCCAGTAGCAGGATCCAGTCCAAAATTGTTACATGGAGTCTAGACTCTAGAATAATTAAATTCTGACTGGAGTAGGAGTGTTCAAAAGCTTCACTGCAATTTGCAGAACAAGTTGGTATAAATAGTGACAAAGGAGATAGAAATTCTAAAATTACTACTGAAGAGAGCATCATTGTATTTGTTGGGGGGCAGAAATGCATGGGTTACTTTCATGCACTATATAGCTGATATATATAAAACAGAGACTAAGACTGAGGTTTAGTTGCCAGAAATCCAAATGTTAAGGAATGGCTCCATCTTAATGTGCTCAAGTGTATAGCATCCCTCAGATTTCTGTGTCAAAAAGTTAGAATAAATCCAATGTTACAAGGAGGTGTATATCATTCTTCCAATCAGAAAAAAAAATTAAAGAAAGTTAGAAATGTTAGTAGAGTCCAAAGATAAGATATCTAACAATTCTGTTTGAAGTAAAAGTTATATATAAGCTTAATTGTGGGGAAAATGTACATAGGATCTGATGTGACCATAAATATATTTTATTTATAGTTTTTTAAAACGTTGGTAGCGTTTTCAGGTTAGCATTTGGGAAAGGAAACATTCAGCTCAAGTATACCTCAGCAGCCTGTGCATAGTATTTCTCTGCAGACCTCTGCTAGAACATTGTAAATCTGCCCTGCGACTTCCTTGCTGTTTAAATTTTTTCTTTCTATGGAAGCATATCTGCAGCCCTGCCCAAGTGCAGGGTCAAAATAAGGTCTGATGACTAGTGATTCACTGTCTTCACAGAACGTAGGGAAAGCGAGAAGGAAATGCTCGATGAAAAATAGTGAGGTAAAACACACAACACCTGGTTATCAGAGTTTCTTGGAATGAAAATACTATCTTCTGACACGAAAGAAAGAAAAAAATCCTTATTATCTAAGTACTGTTAGGATTTGAACAGCATGTGTTGCTTTGCTTCATACTCCTCCCTGGAACTGGAACAGGGTGGCATGAAATCCCCCTTTCCCAAGCTTGTTAGGGGAGAGCACTATCTGCAGTGCAGGGCTGACTGGCAGCAGCATCTTTATCACATGTTGTAATCTCGTTATATTCCTAACAAGTAAAAAACACAGGAACTTAACCAGTTGGCTTGTTTTGTGTTAGATAAATACACAGGATTTGCAGAAGGCATATAAACTGCAATGAATGTGTTTCTTGTTCCTAATTTTAAAATCTCTCTAAGGAAGGTATTCTTTTAACTTCTCACTATGTACATCCCTCTTCCTGCTTTCCATTAAACAGGCTTAACTACATGGCTATAACCCAAGAGGTTGATACTTCCTGTATCTTCCTAATACGTAGCAGTACGGTGCGCAAGGTCTCCCCCCCCCCGCCTTACATAAATTCTTCCCATCTGAGCTTGCTTGTATATAACTTATTTCTAAATAATATTTTCTTCGAAAGTTAGCAAAGGTGGATGTTGAGGCTTGTTGTCCTCTTACAGGAAAATGTGATTATCTACCTTTATTGAACAAACGTGGTAGAACTTCAGTCTGTTTCCAAGGGAATTATTCAGAAAGTTGCAAATAAGTGAAAGGCAGCTGAAACACTGGAATATCATGAGTAAATTTTACATTAGCTAGCCTAGCTGCATGTTCTGTGTACTATCAGGAGCTAATTTTTCTTAATGCTGACAAAGTTTATCAATGTTCTTTGTGGCAATTATGCTAAAAAGAAGATGAAAAATCAGTATGAAAGTCTGTTCAACCACTAAAACAGGATTATTGTTTTATTTTGCCAGTCTTTAAAATGACCCTCAGAAACAAATTCCCCTAAAATTTCCATATTTTTTTATATGCTTTTTAAAGAAAATAGTCTCTACCATCATTACATTTGAGCTGTGTCAATTCCTAAAGGCAAGTGCATTTAATCCAGAAATTCTACAAATATTAAAAATGCTTTCTTATAAGGGTTGTCCTCTGTAGTGTACAGAAGATTTTTTCTTTTATGACATTCTGTTCTGTTAACTCTCTGACCAGGGAAAAAGTGGTATACTAAACTGTTCTGGAGAACCATCAAGGCATAGGAAACCATCATATCCTACTAGTGGATAATATGGTATATACTAATCCAAATGGAAACATATTAATATGTCATGACTGCAGAAGGGCAAGCTCTCTCAGGAATGGGCAAACCATCCATTTGTACACTGCAAAGTTTAAATGCATCAGGTGTAATGATAGAGCATCAAAACAGATCTGTTGTATTATGAATAGCCAGTTTAATGGTGCCTGTGGTCTAACAGATTCTTTGCATCATTTAAGTCTTATCTATAATATTTTTGCAAAAAATTAACCAGTTAGATGTAGTCCTATTAATAAAATGGAAAAAAAAAAAGTTCAAAATCTTGAAATTGTGCTTTAATATTAAGAAGTGGTTCTTAGAAAGTAGTTCTGTTTATCCTACACACCATCTTCATGTCCGCACTGTCAGTAATATCTGGTTCACTTTATAACACCAGTGTATTTTTATTCCTATTGCCGGTCTAACAGACCCTGAATGGATGCAGAAGAATGGTCTTAGAAATAGTCTGCTTGGGCATCAGCAGAAAAGCTTCCAGCTTCACTTACAGAATCACTGGTTTTGATAATAATATATAGAATAGGCTGTTACAGAAGGTTTTCTGTGCTTAAATTGTAATGCCAGCACTTACGAAAATCTTAATGACTTGAAAATTTCATAAGTTAGGTAGACAGCATGTGTTGAACATCAACATGTTTCTAGTGTTCATTTTTCCTCGGTGATATTTTTCTCTTTTAGAAATGTGTACAGTATACACACTGGCTATTAGCAGTAGTTAATAATTTTATGTATCAGCAGTACTTGTTGATATTGTTGATATCAAGTATAACTTGATATTACTGGAGTTACATTTGCTACTGTGGGCTCCAGTGGCATTGTATGCAGGAAAATAGGAATGGTTTTCTTATCTCAAGAACAAAGTCAGGATTTGGTACAACAGCTGAAAATTTACCAGAGGGGTGTCTAATAAGGCATGTAAACTGGCTTTGTTTAGCTAGTTAAATACTTTGTGTTTGTTATATAGGATCCTTTAAATTATTGCTCTTTTAGAGGTGAAATAACTTCTGTTATGATAAAGAACTTAGGCTAATGCTGTCAAGGACTATGAATAAAACTGGAATGTTTCTGTGCAGTGCAAACAGTTGAAGAGAAAAAGCTTAGGGTACATGGGGAAACCTATGGCTTGTGCTATGAAAAGAAAGTATATTTTCATGAACTAGGCCCCAAAAGCTGTGCCCTTTCTGGCAAAAATTTGTGTGACTACATGGTATGTTCAAACAGTTCTGGCAGACACTTGTTCTAGAGCTCACCTTTTTGTGTAACCCATTACAGAAAATCACCAAAGTGAGTGGGTCATACAAGTTTATAAAGAAAATGCATTTCAACAGAGAAATAAAAAGTCAAGGAGGGAGTGGTAAACTTTGAATCTGTTTTCTTGCTTGCAAGCTACAGGCTACAGAAAGGTTCCCTTAAACAGCTTTGATGGAAGTCACGCAAACAAATTATCATCTTTCTCAGAGACAATAAACTTTCTTCTAACTTGCCAAGGAAAGCTGGGTGTTATTTTTCAACAGTAGTTATTTTCAAATCAGATAGAACTGTATGTAGGCCAGAAACTGAATTATAATTGAAATCAATGATTCTATAAATTATTGAAATTGCAATGGATATGGTGTTCTTTGGTATGTAACATTACTTCTTGCATAGTGTTATGGGGAGCTGATTAAAATAACTTCCACTTTCCACAAACCAGATGTAGCTATGTTTTTATTATGATTGAAACAATTTCTGATTCTAGCATTCATAGTTTATAAAGCACTTTGGGATAAGATTATGTTATGGTAAGGCTAATAGTCTTGATAAGTTTAAGAACATCATTCTCTAAAATTGTACTGTATATAGCATTACCTTACCGTCTTCTGAAAGAAACAGCTTCGGTTACTACACAGCAGTTAAAAAAAAAAAAACTAGTTTGGTTGGACAATGTTGTCTCACTCTTTTCTGCCTTTTCTCAGATCCACTTTAGTCTCATCCCATAGGTCTGTTCTTGCCAAGCAGTTTCACATGTAAATGATCTTACAGAGGCATTGGCTATCTTTTGTGTTGGCGCTGCAGCAAAAATGGAAACGAGGGGACAGCTGAGAGCAAAATGGACAGATTCACAGACTTGTCTTCAGCGAAGGATGGTAAAGGCACTGCTTTGTTCTCTTACTGTGCTTCAGCATTACAAGGTGCCAAGTTCATCTTCAGGGCTCTTCAGTGTGTCCAAAAGAG